CAGTGTATCACAACCCACGAAGTGATGAAGGCTGTTGCTTGGATCATGGTTGGAAAGTAGACAGTTGCTGGGCCCACCCCAAAGTTTCTGGTTTGGGAGGTGTGCCATGGGCCTGATCATTTGCATTTCTGTTAGTTCCCAGGTGAAGTGGATTCTGCTGGATCAGCACTCACCTTTGGGAATCTTAGTCTAGAACAGGAGTTCGCAAGCTTTTGAAGAGCCAGATGGTAAATAGCTGAGGTTTTGTGGGCCCTTTTTTTTTTGCAACTATGCAGAAAAGCAGCCATCGACAACATGCAAAAGAATGGACATGAATGTGTTCGATAAAACTGTTTACAAAAACAGGCAGTGGGCTGGGTTTGGTCCTGGCCATAGTTTGCCCACCCCTAATCTAGAACATGATCACTTTTGAGAACTATTCACTAGAAGATCAATATATGACAGTGTATCTGAGCTAGGAGACAGCTGTGTGCCAGACACAGGTGATTTAGTGGTAAGTGACAGGTCTTTGACCTCGTGAAATTCACAGAATTGTGGAGGAGATAGCCACTAGACAGTCACACCAAGAGCTACACAGTACATTTGTGCCAAATGACGGGGTAAAATACAGGGTGCTCTGAAAGTTTACAACCAGGCGCTTCAGGGAATGCAAGGTGGCCTTTCCTGGCTCTCAGCTGATCACTTTTTGTTTCATTTCACTGAGAAAAAGAAGTAATCAGAAGAAAACTTCCTTTTCTTCCCACTTGTAGTCCGCCATGCATCCATCCCCGTACTTGGCCTTGCTCCTATCTTAGCCCTGCCCTTGTTCCTACATACCATCTGTCACCTTCTCAAGGACTTGCAGTACCTTTACCTTCTCCTTTACAACATCAGTTTCTCTCCTTCTGAATTATTCCTGTCACATACAGGCATGATTTCATTTCACCAGTTTCCTAGGAGCTGTCACTCCGTTTCTGTTTCTTTCCATAAGAATTCTCCTTGAGAATCTTCTTACTGAATTTCCACTTGTCCACCTCCCATGGTTTTTGTGTCCTCTCCCCATTCTTGCTTGAACTCACTGTAGTCAGACTTTTGTTCCCACCTTACCACTCTCATCAGGGTCCAAAGATACTCACAGTGACAACTCCGGGGGGGTGTTGTCAGTCCTCATCACTTCTTGAGACACTTTGTTCACTTGGCTTCTCATTTTCCTCTGGCCCCTCTGGCTGCTCCTTCATGCTTTCTGTGGCCTTACATTGGCTATTTCTGTATCTGCCCGTTCTCTTCATTTCTGGGGCTTTTCCTTCCATGTTCTCATCGGTGAGGGTGAAGATAGTAACTCATGGGTATTGAGCCAGTAAACATTTTTATGTGCATTAGGTCATTGAATCCTCACAGTGTCCTCTCTGTCAAGTAGATATTGGCATCCCATCTTATACTTTCCCACAGTCACCTACTACTGAGTGGGGATTCAGGTACCATCTCAGGCAGGCAGTCTGCAGACCGCTGCCTTGCTTCCCTCTGCTGACTCCCAAATGTCCTCTCCAGCCTAGACCTCTGCCCTGACCTGTAGACACAGGGACAGCTATGACCTGACATCCATACAGCTAACTGGCATCTCACATTTAAACTGTCTAAGCTGGAGCAACTAGCTCAGGCCAAAAATGCAAGAGTCATCCTCACTTTCTCCTCTCGTACGACACCCATAAGCACATCATCAGGAGGTCGCATTGCCTCTGCCTATAGACCATATGCCAGCTCCATTCTCTCTTTACCACTTCACTGCTGAAACCCTGGACCAGGCCACCGCCATCTTCCTCAACATCACTGAGAGCCACACGACTCCTCCTTGCTTCCAAGCCCCCAGGCCGTTCTCCGTGGAGAGTGGTGTATTTTTGTGTGTGTGTTTTTTAATTTTAAAATATTTATTTTTAATTTAATTTTATTGTTTAATATATATGAGACCACAGCCTTGAGCCACCCAAAGGCTTCCCTTAGAATAAAATCCGTAGTCCTCACCACAGCCGTCCATACCCCAGTCCCCATCTGACCACCTCTCAGCTGCATCTCAACCCTCCCGCTCTCCCACTCTTCACACACAGCACGCTGCTTTCCATCTCAGGACCATTGTCCTTACGGTTAGTTCTACTTTAATTGGAATTACACCCAACCCTCAAGATATCAGCATGCTGGCTTAGGTCTCTGATTAAATGTTATCCGTCCATATCCCAGTCCCCATCTGACCACCTCTCAGCTGCATCTCGACCCTCCCGCTCTCCTACTCCACACACAGCAGGCTGCTTTCCATCTCAGGACCATTGTCCTTACAGTTAGTTCTACTTTAATTGGAATTACACCCACCGCTCAAGATCTCAGCATGCTGGCTTAGGTCTCTGATTAAATGTTATCCCTACACAGAGACCTTCCCTGGCCACCTAAACTGAAAGTCTTTTCCAATTCCTCTCTTCTCCGTATTAACCCCTCACACCTACCTTTCTTCATAGTACTTCGGCGTGCTGAAATAATAGCATACTGTGTCTGTCTACTGTTTACTGTCTCTCCCTCACCACTGTATTCCTAGCATCTGACACATAGAAGGGATGAAAAGGTATTCGCTTGCTGACTGGATGGATAGATGGTGGTTAAAAGAGCATCCCATTTCCACTGTTTGCTAACTCTGATCTTTGGAAAGGTACTTAATTTAAGTCTTTTTCTTCTTTAACATGAGGATAACAATAGTACCATCTTCATAGTACTTCATAGTATTAGTGTCTTTCATATCACTGAACTGTATACTTAAAGATGGTTAAGATGCTCCTGGCAGGTGTGGCTAAGTGGTTAGAGCATCAGACCATGCACCAGAGGGTCTCAAGTTTGATTCCCGGTCAAGGACATGTACCTTGGTTGCAGGTTTGCTCCATGTACCCGGTAAGGGAGAAAACCAATTAATGTGTCTCTCTCACATCGATATTTCTCTCACTACCCCCCCCTTCCTCCTTTCTACTCTAAAATCAGTGGAGAAAATATCCTCAGGTGAGGATTAACCAAAAAAAAAAGTGGTTAAGATGGTAAATTTTATGTATTTTATTTATGACAATAAGATAATGGGGGAAATAAAAAATTAAAAAATCCTCAGTCCTGTGTGGTAGACAGGTCAAATATTAAAATCTTCATTTTAAAGATGACAAAAGTGAGGTTTGGAGAGGATTTAACTTTTCCAGAATTATCAGACTAGTATGCAGGTGCCAGGGGCAGAACTTACGCCCTTTACCTGCTAGTTTAATGTTTTTAAAGTGTGTTTAGATATCTAACAAAGCTGTGTTGCTGGCTTTTGCTCACTGCCAGCTCCACTAGAGAGAGAAAGCTTCCTTTGTGAGACTACATGATAAATGACTAGAGCCTTGAGAATATTTGCACCCTCCCTAGCATTGCCATTGGGAGCTCCTTTTGTGATGGAGTTTGCTAGCCAGGCTTTCAGTGGAGTATTTGGTATACTTGGAAAGCTCTGGAGTATTTGGTATGTGACTTGGAGAGCTCGGTTTGAAACAGGACATAGACTGAAACCCTCTGTCCCATGACAGCCTCTACTAAGGTCCCTCCCAAGAAGCAGGAGATCTGGACAGTACATTTTAAAATGCTGTGCTCATGCAATGGTTTGGTATTTTACTATACCGAGGTCTCTTTTCTTAACCTTACTTGTTTTATTTTTTAAATGCCAGTGTTTTTCCACTAATAAATACTATAAGCATTTTCTCCCAGTCTCTCCCCACCATGTAATTTTGATACCTCAGATATGTGGTCTATCTGTTTACATATGGTATGTCTATTTGTGTATATAAGAAGAGTACATTTTTTTATCCCTCAAGAACAATTTTTTGCTTACTTCGGGGTGATACTCTTATTGAGAATGCATGGAGTAGATGGAGAAACAAAGGACAAATCTGATTTGTATTATAACAATACATTTTGTATTATCCTATATAATAAAGAGATAATATGCAAATTGACCATCACTCCAAGGGGAGTGGTTAGGGGGTGATCAGGCCAGCAGGCAGAAGCAGTTAGGGGCAGGCAGGCAGGCAGGCAGGCAGGCAAGCGGTTGGGAGCCAGCAGTCTTGGATTGGAGAGGATGCAGGCTGGGCTGAGGGACACACACCTTCCACAAGCACGAATTTCGTGCACTGGGTTTCTAGTAATAGTATATTTAAAAATAAAGCATCTTTATTGACTAACTTAATGCAATCAATAGATTATTTTAATCCTAATAGCACTGTGATCTTTTGGTTCCCTGAAGGCTAAACTCACCCTCCAGCTGCAGTGTCAGTAATATTTCATCCACAGGGAAGGGAGTTCAGACCCTAATTTTTCTCATCTAAACAGCTAGATAATTGGAATTGTTGCTGGTACTGGTGAATTTAATCTTTTTCAGTATTGTGTTTTTCTAGGATTGCTTGATATGTAAAGGTACTACTTAAATGTATTTTAACATTTAAGGGACACATGCATTTCCCCCCCTCAAAATCCCTCCTTTCTCTACCACAAACCCAAATAAAGAACTCTTGAGCCCTGGCTGGGTGGCTCGGTTGGTTGTAGCATCTTCCCATGCACTGAAAGGTGTGGGTCAATTCCCCAGTTGGTGCAAGTATGAGAGGCAGCCAATCAATGTTTTTCTCTCACATTGATGTTTCTCTCTCTCTCTCTCTCTCAAAATCAATAAAAACATACCCTCGGTGAGGATTTTTATAAAAGACAGAACTCTTGAGTCTGAGGAAAGAGAGATTGCAGTTAAATTTTTTTCTTTGTAACATTTACCCATTACAAACTATCTTGTATGCTTTGTGGGTTTTTCCTTCTAAGTATTTATCTGTATGTCTGTCTTTTTATCATTGTTTTCTGCCTCTATCTTCTCTCTCTCTCTCTTTTTTTTTCTTTTGCTATCTCTACTTTTCCCAATATTCCTTCCCTTTTCCTTCCCATTTATCTCCTCTCTCCTACATGTTGTCTCCTTTCTCTTCCTTCAGGACTATGAGAGTAAATTGCAGGCCTTGCAGAAGCAGGTTGAGACTCGATCCCTGGCTGCAGAAACAACTGAAGAGGAAGAAGAGGAAGAAGAAGGTGAAATCTAGAGACTGACACTTTCCTGTGTATATCTTTTGGATCTATATTATCAAATTAGTCCTTTACCTGTGATCAGAGCTGGATTTGACCATAGTTGACCCTACCATTTATTGACATTTCACTGCCAATTTGAAGATGATTTTTTAAAGATGCTCAGTGCTGAGAATCCAGGCTGTAGTCTATGAGATGGGGGTGGGATTGTGAGCCTCAGAACACAAGATTTCTGAGTAGTCTTCATATAAACCCTCTGGGGCAATGTACTTGTACTGTCCAATATTACTGTACATATGAAATTCATATATATTGCAGATAAACACAGAGCTTAATCTTTGGTAATATGTTCTGTTCTATTTCCTGGTTTATGATTTATGTCAGGGATTTTCCGTTGAGGACTTAGGAACATATCAATGTACACTAAATGTACCTCTCTTAATTCTTCCAGAATTTATTAGCCTAATATTACAGTATAAACATTTGTCACATTTCACTTCTCTACTCAGCCTCTCAGTAATATGAGGTTCCAAATGAACTTTGAAGCAACTCTTAATTTATGTGCTTAATTCTTTATTTTTAAATATCTAGGTAAAATATAAGGCCTTTTCCCCCTGTACCAGAAAGAACAATAGATGTATATGGCATTGTACAATATCCTAGGGGTTTTTCTATATTATAATCCACACATTAGAGTATCTCTTTTTAAAAAAGAAAGAGAAATCTATTTCTTTGGTGTATTGTTTTAAAATAAACAGTAGGATTTTTAGAAGTTTTCTGAAATGGATATACTGTTGTCATAATCAACAGATTCTAGTAAGCTTTACCAAAAGTAAGAAAACAAGAGCAGCTGGCTGGAGAAAGACTGGAAAATACCGTACTTGATAAAAGTGATGAGTAGAAGAGGATATAGTTTCTACATGGTTATGAGGTCACCACAAATACACTGCATTTGCTCTTTCAGTTCCTTGGACACAACATGAATTCGAGCTGGCCCAGTGGGCCTTCCGGAAGTGGAAGTCTCACCAGTTTACTTCTTTAAGGGACTTACTCTGGGGCAATGCTGTTTACCTGAAGGAGGCCAATGCCATCAGTGTGGAATTGAAGAAGAAGGTACGGAGGGAGTGAGAACACGCACCATCGGGAGGCAACGCTGAGCCTGATATGGGGTTCATGGTGCTCATCTTGAAATAGCCTTTCTCTGAGTGAACTCAGTTGCTTTTGGCTTTGAAACAGATTTATATATGACTTTATTTAATATATGTGCCCGGAACATAATAGGTACTAATTATATTATTACATGAAATTTTAAAAACAACACATTTTCTAACTTATGGTATTTTATAAATAAGGAGACTGTATTCCTGACAAGAGCTAGAGAAGCATGTTAGTAGAAATATGCTTCTCTTGGGTTTCTGACATTTTCAGTTTTCTTTTAGTTTTTACAATTAAGTCTGCACCTAAGTCCCATGTGCCCCCTCCTATTCTAGGGCCTCAGAGGCAGTTTTGTGGAATGGACAAACGCATGTGCTCTGCACCCAGACAGCCAGGTTCCAGTCCCAGCTCTCCTGGTTGTGTGGACACTAACATCCCTGTCCTCCATTCCCTCGGCTACACAATGGGCTTGGCAACAATGCCTGCCACCCAGGGATTTGTGAGGGATGGGAAAGTGGATGACCCACTGTTTAGCAGTGTCCTGACTGCTAAGATTACCGGGGGGCGGGGGCGGGGGGTGGGCAATATTGTGTAGTAGGTAAGAGCACAGACTACCTGGCTCTGGGCAAATTCGTATCGTGTTCTGAGTCTGTATTCTAGTTTGAAAGAAGGGGATAAGGAGTCTTCATTCATAATCTCAGCCACCCATCTCATTTTGTAATTATTTACTAATTACTCCTTCCTTCAAGTAGACTAATGGAAGGCAGGGGCTATGTCTTGCTTTTCTTACTGCTGTACGCTAGCATTTAATTAAAGATTTATTGGTGAAAATGAGATAGGAGTGAGGATGAATGACATGGTGCATGGAAAGCACTAGCCATGTAGTAAACACTTGTAAGAGTTGTAGTTGTAATCCTTTGAATTTAACATTGAAAACTGACATGTTCCTCTGGACCTACCCATTAATGAGAGACTAGATAGAGATGCATTCTTGGGTCTTTTGTGTAAGTTCTACAAAAGTCTTTATGCAGTCAACCAAATTATATATTGCGAATTTAGTTTGTGCAAAAACACTGCCAGGAGAGAAAACGAAATCTTAAAATAGCATAATTTGACATTAGAATTATTCTCTATGATGAGTTTATAAGTGGCCAGTTTTTTGTTTGTGTGTGTGTGTGTTTTTTCCAGTTAATCACAAGCTATTTGTTTAGTATATACTATATATTCATTTTTTTTATTTACATGTGTGTTTTTTTAAATTGATTTCAGAGAGAGGAAGGGAGAGAGAGAGAGAAACATCAATGATGAGAGAGAATCATCTATCAGCTGCTTCCGGCACACCCCCTCCTAGGAATCAAGTCTGAAACCTGGGCATGTGCCCTGAGCAGAAATCTAACCATGGCCTACTGGTTCATGGGTCAATGCTCAACACTGAGCCACACCGGCCGGCAACATGTGTTTGACTTCTTTTCCATTGGGCATGATTATATCACCTCATCTCTGACGCTTACATGCTAAAAACGAAGGCTGTTTTTTGTTTTCATTTAGGTGCAGTTTCAATTTGTGCTGCTGACTGACACATTGTACTCCCCTTTACCTCCGGAATTACTTCCCACTGATATGGAAAAAACTCATGAAGACAGGCCTTTCCCTCGTACAGTGGTGGCAGTAGAAGTCCAGGATCTGAAGAATGGAGCAACACATTATTGGTCATTGGAGAAACTCAAGTATGAAAACGTTATTCATTAAGCCAGTTGTTTTATTTAGGAAATAGTAATGGGCTCAAGTGGGCTCCTTCAGACTCTCCTCTCTGAGGTGTTGCTATTGCTTCCTTTTTTGTGCCTCTAAATGCTGTCACTGGCCAGGGATATTACTCTCCATCCGTTTTCTTCTAAGTGAATGAATCCCACTCAGCAAACACCTTTGTCATTTGTAGATGGGATTTAAATTCATACTCCATAAGCCCTCTTATATTTTAAGTGTTCCAATTTTATGGTACCTATTTATGTCTTGGATCTAGTAAGTATTCATCTTCTCTGACCTGGAACTCAGGATGACCAGTAATGTAATAAACAGGAAAGTTATAATGTAGCTTCCTCTGCATTTAGTATGATGAGGTATTTTTCACCATTTCAGTGTATTTGAGATGTCACACAGCATTGAAAGAGATTTCTCCTATGACTCGGTGGAGGTTAGGTGGCCATTCTTGATTTTTGGTGGCTTATCTCTAGACTCAGACACTTTGGTTACTGTTTTGGTTTCTGTACTTTTGGTCTTTCATTTTGTTTAATATCATTAAATAGTGGGAGGGTTTTAAAATTTTTTTGCATGGAACATACTTCCAAAGTGAAACTATTTCATGCCATCTTGTGATATTAACCCGGTGCACTTTATGTTTACTACATAGGCAGAGGCTGGACTTGATGCGAGAGATGTATGACAGGGCAGGTGAGATGGCCTCCAGTGGCCAAGACGAAAGCGAAACCACTATGACGGGCAGTGATCCATTTTATGATCGGTTCCATTGGTTCAAACTTGTAGGAAGGTATGTGATGATTTTACTTGATGTCTTCCTTTTAAGTAATGAATGGTTTTATTTTAATTGGATAAAACTTCAGCATGGTTTACAGTAAGTTAAAAGCAAAAGAGTATAAAACAGCCCCACTTAGAATTGATCCACTAGTACACAGCCACTCTGTATATGTGTCATTTGGTATATTTCCTTTCAGGTTTTTTTTCCTCAACATGTATATTTGTTTAAGTCTCAGACTTTCAAACCAAGTAGTTGACAGTCTTCTCAGACTCTCAACTCATTCACAAAATGACTTAGAGTTAAACAAGATAGATTTAAACAAAAAGACAACCTGTATCTGTATCCCACAGTTTGATATTGTAATGTGACTGACAACTTAACATACTGCACCCTCTGCATGATCTGAAATGTCCTCACTTTTTTAAAAAAGCAATTCATCTCACTTTTGTCTTTGCCAAGGGTGAATTAGTTGCACATCTTGGTAGTCCCCGTGAGCCTCTTTATCATATACATACTTTTAACATTTAATGAAAACAAATAGTGCCCTGTGAGTCCATATTGAGTCAAGTTCTTAGAGGTTTAGAATTTAAAAAGCAGAGAAATATAAGTTTTGAACTTGATGATTTCAGAATTTAAATTGTTTTCTATTGCAAAACCTTTCTGACAGTTTTAAAGGACTTGGGTGAAAAGGAAGAGCTGCAGTCCTAGTATTTTGAAAAAGATGAAGTCTTTTCCACTCCACTCTGGTAGTCAACTGTTTTTAAAGAGACGAATTGGCCAAACATTTACCCATGCAAGGCACATCTTTGCTTTGCTATATACCAGTTCATCCATTTTGTTTTCTGCTCCCAGATGACATGGGAATTGGAATAAAAATTTAGACCTTATTATTTCACCTAATATTGAGTGGCTCCTTTGAGGCCTGGCTGCTGCTCTTTTGTGCAAATGGAGAATAAAAACGTTCCAGAGCACATTATTTACCTGGAATATTCTACTCATGTGTTTCCTTTGCTTTCTTATTCTAAGGATCAGTCCTGGTTCCCTTTCACCTGAACCAGATGATTTTTGCTTATTTTATCCTTTTGCTTTTCCACTTGCTTTTATTGTGTTGATTCCTCAGTGGGTTCTGTGCTGTTGGCACCTGTGGCTTCCTGTTTAACCAACTATTCCTCTCTTTGGCTGTGTCAATCCGCGTCTTACCTGGTGTCTAGCTCCCCCATTTTCCATGGCTGTGTGAATGAGCGCCTTGCCGACCGCACACCCTCCCCCACTTTTTCCACGGCTGATTCCGACATCACTGAGCTGGCTGACGAGCAGCAAGATGAGATGGAGGATTTTGATGATGAGGCATTCGTGGATGACACCGGCTCTGACGCAGGGACGGAGGAGGGATCAGATCTCTTCAGTGACGGGCATGACCCGTTTTACGACCGATCCCCATGGTTCATTTTAGTGGGAAGGTTGGTGAGGTTACTGTGAGAAAGGCCAAAGGGGACCAGCTCTTGCTCTAAACAGGCTCCTTGTGCAATTTTGGATGACCTTGCTTTAGCCAGTTCAATTCATGACATGCTGATCTGGCTAGTGTTTGTAAGGTACTGGGTCTACTTGGTGCAGCAGGCATATAAGGCCTAAGAAATCATTTGATCTGGCCCTGCCAAGGCATTAGGGGTGAGTTAATTAAATGTTTGACCAAATATAGCAGGCTCATTTTTAAGCTGATAATTGTGTATGGCCCTCGAGGATGTTATAAATATCCGAATGGCCCCTGGCAGGAGAAAGAGTCCCCACCCCTCCTCTACCTAGAGGACCCCTTGTCTTCAGTTGCCCAGTAATACTGTGAAGGAGGAAGCCCCGGAGGAGAAAGTGATTAAAGCAAAGAGTCAGAGGTTACAGGGTTGAAGAATGGTATTTTGCCAGATTTTCCTTTTTGTAGGAGTGCGAGTAAGGAAGCATAGGTGACAGCTTGAGAAAGAGAGCAGAGAAAGCCCAAAGTTAGGCTAAATGATTTGTGGCATCAGCAGGAATCAAGAGGACAAAAATGAAACGGGAGTAGTATTAGGTTTTACTTTTTGCTTTATCTATGAGTCCAAAAAAGAATCAAGAACACGAAGTTTCCTTTTCATCTAAAATAGATGCCTTTCTTTGGCCAGTTTCACTGAGCCTATCTATAAATCTTTGGCTTCTGCTAAACTTTTACCTATAGGCTTTGTAATGATGAATCTCATAAAATTATCGATTGGCACCATCAACAATGGATACTTGTTCACCAGTACATGAAACTGCTTTGTGTTAAGTTTAGTTCACCAAACTGAGGCATTGTCTCTGGCTCCATCTGTCAGTGATGCAGAGCCCCCTGCCCTTGTTCCTAATACTGGTGTCTTTGTCTCTATCCAGTCTTCACGCTGAAGTAATTTTAATCACAAATTCAACAGAGCAGCACACACTGGATTAACCAAAAAGCATGCCCAGGTTTTAAGGTATTAAATTTAACTTTAATGGTTGATTAGAACCACTATTGTTAAACCCTTTCAGAATAAGGGAATTATGTCAGTGTTAAATGGATAAGCACCAGTTATCTACAAATTAAAGTGTAGTGAGTCTCCTGACCCAATAGAAACATAAGGTCCTAACATTTAGTTCATAGTGTGGTGTTGGTTAGTTGGTGAGAGCTAAATAAATAACGTAGAAGATAATCCCTGTTATGGAAAGAGGGAAAATGAAAGCTTTCTGATAGAAATGAAAGTCTGAATTATGACTATTGGTAGTAATATTAGCCTCAGGGGTTAACAGTAGTGAGGAGACATTTACTCAGTTTACCCAGGAATAAAGGATTATGTAGCCATGAATCTTGTTTTCTACTGGTGTATTGCCAGGAATAGATGCTAAGAATTTCAGAAAAGCCCATTTATATTACAATTGAGAAAGGTCATTCTGTATACAAATAACGGGACCATGATGCTCTCTTTACTTTATGGCTACGTGTATCCATCCTGCACTAAGAGGGTCAGAAGTTTGGATAGAACCAAGTTTCTGTCCATAAACAGCTTGGTCCAGAACCAAGTTGCTCAGCTTCTAACTCCGCTCACTTAAGTTCCGCACAGTGAGGATGGGAAGAACACTGACCTGATAGTCAGGAGGAGCCTCGGTCCTAACTTGGGACAGGCTACCTAGACTGAGGCCTGTCGGATTCTCACAGAGCCCAAGAGTTAGGGAGGAAAAAAAGAGTCTTAACGCCCTTTTTCATCTTCCAGATTCTGCCATCCACACTGGCAAAATCCTGGCTAAGAGTGCTACCCAAAAGCATTTGTATTGTGAGTCAGTTGTTTAGAAAACTCAAGTCACAAGCCCATTTAATGTGAAATTTACTGGCTTAAGATATATGTATTATTTTTCTATAGTTTTATTCATTTTAATCATATCAGATTTAAGTGAAGATAGAAAGCAATGAACTCTACTTTGATTTTCAAATGGAATCTTTATGGAGCTATGGCTCAGGAATTGACCTTTCCATTTGTTTGGGTTCCCAGGTTCTAAAACTAACTTTGGCCTGCAAGAAAGAGGTTAGAGGAGGAAGTGAAATCACAGCAGTCAGTAAAGTGAAGGATAGTTCTTTATTTTCTCTCTTGCCTGCATTTCTCATCTGCAAACAATTTATAATAGTGCAACATCCCCTAGTTATAGAATGGTCATTGTGCATGCATGGGGAGTAACTTCTTTCCTGTTCTTGACTCACAGGATTGGGTTTCTCTATTGGCATGTAATTGCAAATACAATTCACTTGTAAAAATTTCCAGTTTCTTGTGAAAATTCCATTTGTAAGTTTTGTTCTTTGGCTGCCTCCAGTAAATTTTTATATGAAAATAAAAAGAGCTTGTCCCTTTAGCTATTCTCTTATGGCATGCTTGGATATTATGAACCATCCATCATAATTTGGGATGACATGTAAAATATTTAAGCTACTTTTCTGGGTTAAAAGGGAGCAAAGGATGGTTATTCTGTGATCTCATTATCTGAATTGACATTCTTTCTGTAACCAGAACCATAATCATGTTGATTTTTCTTATCTTTATGTTGACAAAATTTGTTTCCCTTTTTGATATAACTTCACAGAACTTTCTGCTAATATATCTTTTATATCTTTTCCTCTTTCATCCCTGTTCTCCTTCAGTCTGCTAGGTCAGAGTATAAGGACTCTCAAGAATATGGAGTAATTATTAAATACCAGTTCAAAATATCCATTGAGTTTTTATACAGCATTGATACTGACTGCCACTCACATAGAATTAAAGATTTCTCTTCTCTAAAAGGAGACATCTATAACAATACTTCCATTCTTCCACATTTGGGGTAGCCTTTGCCGTAGGAAGAAAGGAGAGTCTTGTGTTTCATGTGTACTCAAACCGTACTTTATGTAATGTGCGTGTGTGAACATGACATGCTGTGCCTTCAAGTGGTAAGCTTTTTTAAAATTAAAAACAGGAGTTCCTGGTTTTGAGTAGCTATTTTTAAGTATAAAAAGATAACCATACAAGTTAAGTAGAGTTAAGAATCTAAACATGTTCTATGTAGTCAGTGTTCATTGTGAGTAAGGCTTGGAAAAATCAACTTGGTATAAAGTTGGATGGCTTTGCTTCTCTATCTCTGTTGGAAACCATTTTTCTGGAAAATCTTCTACCTGACTTAAAGACAGAGGACAATTCCTTTTCCCATTTACTTATATATTTAGATGTTCGATCACCCACCAGTGGCTAGCAAGACCAGACATGGTTCCTACCCTAATGGGTTTACAGTCTGGTGGATGAGACAGACAAATTAAATAATCACATACAGAAAGAAATGTAAATCCTAAGCAATGCTGGAATCATGTGTTACTGAGATCATATAACATTGGGGGGACCTATCATGAGAGATTGGTATTTGGGTTAAGACCTTAAGATGTGGAATTAAAGGCATAAGGTGGTAGTGGAGCTCAGAGAGGACTCCAGGCAGGAGATGAACATGTGCGATGGTTCTTTATGGCCAAGGCTTTGAAAGTGGGCACGTCTGGCTGGAATGCCATTAAGAAATGAGTGTCATCTTGTCTGTATACTGACTTTGGAAGTGAAATTATCCATATGGTACCTTATGCCAAATTCTTAGTCTTTAAATTATGTCACAGTAGTTAATGTTTGAGAGTCTTGTTTGTAATTTTTTAAGAAGACTTTTCAGTTTGTAATTTTTTGTGCAACAAAGCTTTAACCCTCTGTTTCTTAGCATTGCCCTCTCCCACCTTTGGAGCAGACTGAAAGGGAAGTAGACATCATTTGATCTGATTTAATGTTCACTTGCTATTATTTTGTTATACTTTTCATTCATAGTTCATTTATGCTCTTAAAGTTTTAACATTTGTTTTTCTGTGGTGTATTTTTTCTATTTTCAGAATTGTTTTCATTACTTTGAGTTGAAATCCCACAAATCCACTCATCTTCCTTTTCTCTTTGTCTTAAAGTAGATTTTTCAGAGCAGAAATAAAAGCAAGCAGACATATGTGTCACGTTTAGTTATGTTTGATTTCTTGATGCAAATGTTTACTCTTTGTCTTGTCTTGTGTTCAAAGATCAGCATGTACCACGTGGGAAGGCAGGAGTAACAGTAGGAACTAGATGCTATTTTCCGTTCACTAATGGGAATAAACACTCTCAAGTTTTGTGGTCACCAGTTTTTATTACTTAAAAATAAAATCAATAGTCTCAAAATGATGAAAGAAGGAAAAAGAATACAAATGTGATCGGACTTTGCCAGTTTCTGTGAAGTAGAGAATGTTAGGTCTGTAACTTACCTTTGTATATGCATTTCTGAATTAGGTTTTGGACCTAGGAGTAAAAAAGCAACCTTTAGCTGCCTTCTCCCTGGGCATTTATCTTCATTCCCATCCAGAGTTTCTTATAAACTGGCTACTCAAAAACTTCTGGCTACATAGCCTTTCCACCCATATGTGTTGTAACCCAGCCTAAAGATAATAGTCATTTCTTAGAGTAAAATAAAGACCCATAACACTGTGACTTGAAATCTATTTTAGACCTATTAACTATATTTCAGTCACATTCTTCTGCCTTTTTGGTCTCCTGATTTCTGTTTTATCTATTGGGAAAAACAAAACAAACCTCTTTATAATTTCTTACATTAAAAGGTTAAGCTCTTTAATGGGCTCCCTTTTCCCCACCCTTAGCACTATTTATAGACCAGTATCTTGAAAGTCTGCTTCCCATTGTTACTCTTCTACCTACAGTAGTAATTTTTATAGGGCGTGATTCATTTGGTGTAAATTGGTCTCTGTCAGCTGTTACCAAGCATTTGCATTGGTTTGTATATTGTCTGCGCTAAGAAAGAATTGGAGGTAGTCTGAGAATACAGAGCAGAGAGAGAGGTAACCTTCAGACAGAGCCTAAAAGCCAGCTCAGTTTCACACAGGTATTTTCGATAACTCTGACAGCCAGCTTCTCTGTCGGTGGGATGCTCAGCTGTGTCTCCCGGTTTCTATCTCTAGGGCATTTGTATACCTGAGCAATCTGCTGTATCCCGTGCCCCTGATCCACAGGGTGGCCATTGTCAGTGAGAAGGGTGAAGTGCGGGGATTTCTGCGTGTGGCTGTCCAGGCCATTGCAGGTAGGTGACCCTCTTCTGAAACAGAGCTGTGGACTCTGCTTGGAGACAGAGAGGCCAGTTCTGCAGGGTCACGCTGCAGCTGCACGTACAGACTGCAGTGTGTTTGTCTGTCTTGGAGAAAGCCTTTATTGCTTCCTCTCTAACTGTTGTTACTAAGTATCAAAAATAGATTCTGTTTAGTCTGGACTACTGTTATTTTGGAATAATTGGATAAAGGGATTTCCTTTAACGTGAAAGACAATTCTTGGGTTAACTTTATAAAAGTCACTTGCATTTTAAATAATGTGTATTAACTGCCTCAGAAGTAACTAAGGACTTTCAGTACTTTTTTTGTCTAATTTTCTCTAAGGGTACTTCTAGGCCTTTCTGTCCCTTAGCTATTATTTTGTAACTAGAGGCCTGGTGCATGGATTCGTGGAGTCCCTCGGCCTGGCCTGCGGGGATCAGGCTAAAACTGGCTCCAACATCCCCCGAGGGGTCCTGGAGTGAGAGGGCGGATCTCAGGTGATGCACCCCAGAATCGGGCTCCCTCCTCTCTGGTTCCGGGTGCATCACCCAAGAACCACAGCTGCCAAGTCACCACAGCTCAACAGCATCTACGTTGAGCGTGTGCCCCCTGGTGGTGGGCCAGTCAGCCGATCACTTAGGCTTCTCCATGATCCAGCCTCCATTCTGAGGACGAATGTGGCCATTTATTGCAATTTTTCTGTTGTAATTTCTAAATGCTATGCTGTGACCTTTCACCTTTACCCATGGAAATCTGTGACATATTCACCATTGTTGAGTTTAGGGAAGTCTTCACAAGTACAGTCTAATATTTTGAAATATTTATTGAGTATTATTGAATATAACCTTGCCAAGTGAAGAGATCAGTATTTTAGATACGGCATCTGAACAATATCAAGAATAAAACTGATTCTTTGCTCATTTGAGCTAAGGGAGTTGGTAAGGTTACCTGAGTAGAGTTGGAAGCAGCCCTTGTGACTTTATTGCTTAGATCTTATTTTCTCTTTCTTAAGCAAAAAGACTTGTCCTTTGGTGTCTCCTCTTATATCAAAGTTCTCGGAACCTAAGGCTCCACTACTTCATTATTTATTTTATAATCCAGTAAGAGTCGTCCCCCCTCTGCCTCATATGTAGTCTCATTTGATCTTTGCTTTTCTCTCTCTCTTTCTCTCTGTCTCTTTTTTTTTTTTCCTACCTAGCGGATGAAGAAGCTCCTGATTATGGCTCTGGAATTCGACAGTCAGGAACAGCTAAAATATCTTTTGATAATGAGTACTTTAATCAGGTGAGAAACCTTCCAGGAAGAGGAAAAATCTAATGGAAGGAGTAGTACTCAGGTTTATAAAAAGGATGTTCAGCACTGGGGGACAACAATTCTTTTACCTACAACTAAAAAGTATAGGTAACCACAGGGTGTTTAATAGGATGTGGGACATGTCTAAGGATTACAACAGTAAGGGTAAAGGCCCAATATTTATTTTGCCTTTTGTAAGGCAGCTCTTAATCCATATAATTTTACAGTCACTATTAGTCATTAGGCAAATAAACAAAAGAAAGGAAACTGGGGGAAATGTATTACTATACTACTTCATCTACCTCCCCCTGCCTTGATTTCAGAGTGACTTTCCTTCCGTTGCAATGACTCGTTCTGGTCTGTCCTTGGAAGAGCTGAGGATTGTGGAAGGACAGGGTCAGAGTTCTGAGGTCATCAGTCCTCCAGAAGAAATCAATCGAATGAATGACTTGGGTGCGTAGACACAGTGTACTGTGATGGGGGACATTTTCAAAGAGGGAAACATATTGACCATTGCATTGACCGATGAGATAATCACTTTCATTCACTAGGAATGGAAAGAACGCCCTGCTCTCTCCTCACTGAAGGGTGATCTGTGCATTGTTTGAACCAGGTGTGTGTTGTTTGACCCTCTTTAGATCTGAAGTCAAGCACTTTGCTGGATGGGAAGATGGTCATGGAAGGGTTTTCTGAAGAGATTGGCAACCACCTGAAACTGGGCATTCCCTTCACTTTCCGCGTGACAGTGCTGCAGGCCAGTGGGATCCTCCCAGAGTATGCAGATATCTTCTGTCAGTTCAAGTAAGCCGTCCCTTCGCTCTGCCTACCCAGCTGTCCGCTCGGATGCCGTCCTTTGCGCTCTGTAGACTGCTTTACATTTGTGAGACCCTAACACTCCTGAGAAATGACGACTACCAGTCTCTGAAATAAAATGCTTTCTTCCCTCAAGATGGGAGTAGCCGTAACCGGTTTGGCTCAGTGGATGGAGCATCGGCCTGTGGACCAAAAGGTCCCAGGTTCGATTCTGGTCAAGGGCATGTACCTTGGTTGCGGGCACGTCCCCAGTGGGAGGTGTGCAGGAGGCGGCTGATCGATGTTTCTCTCTCATCGATGTTTCTGGCTCTCTATCTCTCTCCCTTCCTCTCTGTAAAAAATCAATAAAATATGTGTTAAAAAAAAAATTTAAAAGATGGGAGTAAGAACCAGAAACCTACAATGGAAGGAAACAGAGTACATTGTGGGGAGGGGTGTGGCCATGCCTCCTGCTAAAAGGTTATATTGTGGACCATCGCTCTCTGCTAGGAATATAGGGTCTGGTCCAGACACACCTATTTATTAGTCTTTTTAATGCTCTTCATGCTGAAATGTTGTATTAATAAACAAACCTCACCCTGGCCCACGTCGCTCAGTGGTTAGAGTGTTGGCCTGTGGACCAGAGAGTCACAGATTCTATTCCTGGTCAAGGGCACATATCTGGGTTGCAGGTTCAATCCCTGCCCATGGTTGGGGTGCATGTAGAAGGCAACCAATAAATGTGTCTCTCTCACTTTAATTTTTCCCTCTCTCCTTTCTCTCCCTCCCTCCCTCTCTCTCTTCCTCTGTCCCTCCCTTCTTCTCTCCCCCCAACCCCCTCCCTTAAAGCAATGAATTATTTAGTTGCCAATTATGCCTAATAATACTTGGGGAAATGAAAATTTAAATAACATAATGAACAGTAATATTTTACATCAATTGAAAAAAAAAAGGTAGTATGTAGAGATGATGTGACAGGTTTTATTTCTCTTCCACTTATAAGCTTTTTCTATCCTGTAACCCTCTTGACTCTATATTCTAGGTGCTCTCTTCTTACGACCTCCCTAGGAAAACGCTTTTTTTGAAAATCTTAAGTTTTAATACCTCCAAGTTTTAATACCTCCTGCAATATGTGGAAGGGCCACACGAGAATGAAGCCCAGTTTGCCACCGGTGCCACCAAAAGGCCGCCTCAGAGTCCGCCATCCCGCTCCCTCTTTATGTGGCCTTCCCAGGGGTCCTGATGCAGTTATAAAGCATTGCTTTTACATCGCATTTAGCCAAGTCCTGAATTTAATGTGGTTACTACATAGTCAGCCACTAATAATCATTAAAATATTATCCATCTGGTATTGGTTTTGCCCATTTAACATATTTGCACTAAGAGCCTTAAATCAGTTTTTTTGAACTTTCACTATTCTAGTTAAGCAACTGATGTATTTTATGGAAAAAACCTACGTGGTTAACTGATGTCTGAATGACAGTGGTATGTTGACTTTTGTCCTAAAACCTACTAAAAAGATCAGCATGTGTGCTGGCATTAGCTCTGGGGGAAAGAGCAGGTTGACTCATGTTGAGAGAAGACGCAGATCCTTTTTGGGTTTCTATAAATTCTCACTTGGCCTGCATAGGGAAGACACAGCTGTAGACTTCACCTGTCACCCATGGTTGCACCTGCTCCAAGCAGAGCATTGGACGAGTACATATCAGAGATCACCCACCTCTGGTGGGTACCATGTATAGTCCTCAGGCTCAGTGAACTAATGTGGAAGGCAAGGAATTCCTTGTCCTCCTCTCTCTACCCCCTATTCAAAGCATTCTTTTTCCCTTTTTTCTTGGGAGAGTGTGAGATGTTCTTTTTTCTTTAATCCTCACCCAAGGATATTTTTCCATTGATTTTTAGAGAGAGTGGAAGGGATGACACAAGATAGAGAGAGAAATATCAATGTCAGAGAGACACATCAACTGGTTGCCTCCCACACAAGCCCCCACCAAGGCCGGGGATCGAGCCTGCAACCGAGGTTCGTGCCCTTGACCGGAATTGAATCTCGAACCCTTCAGTCCACGGGTCGACTCTCTGTCCTCTGAACCAAACCTGCTAGAGCGATGTGGGATGTCCTTTTGATGCATATTTCTATCTGGCACTAAATCCTTGTATTGAGGATGCTTTAATTCTTCGATTTTTATTTCAGACTTATAATAGGGAGGGAAAGAGAACAATAAAACCTCACTGTTTGTGAGAACAAATAAACATAGCCCACTGATTCAACAAATATTTCAGGAGTATCTTATATATCTCAAGCCCTGTGGGAGACACTCACTGTCTTTTGGGGAGACAGGCATATAAATACATTATTACAAACAGTGAAATCATCACTATTGAGAAAATACATTCCTAGTGCTGTGGGGACACAGAACTATTTCCATGAGTCAGGACAGACTCTTTGCAAGAGGTGGCATTTGCATCTACTCATAGCTGGTCTGAGAGAGACTCCTAGTCAAGTACGCCATCCACAGGCTGTAGTATTACCTTGTAGAAGCTTGAACCTGCCAAATCTTGTCTACACAAAACAACTTAATAATTTTTATTCTCAGTGAAAAACCACAAAGGAACAGGAGTTCACTGAATTCACTCTCCACACTCTCTAAGGCATTCTTGCATATACGTCCACATAGCTAAGTGATCAGGGTCAGGTAATTTTTAATCATTTTTGAAATAAAGTGTAAAATACTGTCTGAGTGATAAGGAAAATGTTTTGACAAGGATATGTAAATAACTTGCTCAATTAAAAACTCTGCTTAAGTAGGCAGTTTCCATACCATCCAAGTCGAGCTGTTACCACATAGATCCTGATGAAACCATTTAATGAAACATTCTCCTCCTTATTTTCCCATTAAGCTTTTTGCATCGCCATGATGAAGCATTCTCCACTGAACCCCTCAAAAATAACGGCAGAGGAAGTCCTCTGGGCTTTTATCATGTGCAGAATGTAAGTGACATGGACTATTTTGCCAGATGTATTGCGGGTTTGTGGTACCTTGAAGTGTCTGGTGTGAGGCAGTCATGTGTGGGCTCCCTTGGGCTTTCTCAGAGCGGCTGTGCGAGGGAATCTGTGGGAGAATAGACAATGGAGGGAGTGGCCAGAGCAGTGAGCTCATCCTCCAGGACAGAGCAGCTGGCCTTCTGTGAATTACTGAGGGCCCCACGAGTCCTGTCCAGGTTCATCTGCCAATAAAATTTTCCATCACTTGGAATGTAGTGAGTTGTTTTTAGTGTTTCCTTCATAGGAAAGTAAGCATTTTAGTATGAGTTTTGTTAAAGTTAATATATTTATTGTCCTTTAAACTGTAAGGTACTTATATTGTTCAGTTGCAAGTAAGATAAAAACTATTCAGTACCTTTGTAACTAAGATTCAGATTGTCTTCCTTGCAATTGATACTATGATGATCCATTAATGCCCCTTACAGCTCTTTCATAAGTGGAGTAAGAAAATAGACCTTCCATCTCCTCTAGGAAGATTCACTATAACTCTATTCACAAGGCATCATCCTTATCACTATAGTCAACACTCCCCGAGAGCTTATTTTGTGTCAGTTTCTGTTAAGAGTGCTTTTTCATGTCTTAATTCATCTAATCCTCACATTTATGCCATAGTCGGTCGTAATCCTCATGTTACAGCTGTGATAACTGAGGCACAGAGCAGTTAAAGCCACTCACCCAGGTTGCAAAGCTAGGAAGAGGTGGAGGCGGGGTTTGAAGGCACAGAAATGTTGCTCTGGCTCCAGGGTCTTCACTACTACATGAGACGGTCTCTCATTCTCTTGTTGACATATCTACTCTCTGAAGTACGAGGGGAAACGACAACTCCAGAAGTGGAACAAGCAAACACAAAACACTATTTTCTTTTTTATGTTTAATTGTATAAATATGAGCATGCATGTATCCAATAAACATTGGCTACTGCGCACAAGGACTGTGCCTGGCACCCTGGGGAATGCACAGGTGAATCACAGGTTATCTATTCCTGAAGAGCTCACAATTCCGATAGGGAAATAAATGCTTATTTAAGTAACAAGATCTAGAGACATTAGAAAGATATTTATGAAATGCAGTGGGAGTCGAGAGAAGGGGAAGTTATTTCCATGATACTTTGAGTTACTTTTTTTTGTTGGGGGTGGATAGTTGAGTATGGAAAGGAGGTGAGGGCACTTCTTGGAGAATATAGTATAAATAAGGAAAGGTGGGTCAGACTTGGCATTGTACCTGGCACCTGGTGAACAGCCCTGTTTCCCTTATTGTTGTTACTGTTTGAGCTGAGCCTTGAAGTCTAGGAATGACTTAGAGGTATGGAGGTGTGGAAGGCCTTGCAGGCAGGACTGCAGCCTGGGCCATCTAAGGGCGAAACAGGAGAGAGTGGGTGAGTTTGATTAAGTGGAAACAAATGTATGGAGAGCAGCCGGGGGCAGAGATCGGTTCAGGCAGATGGTGGAGAGTCTCAAATGCCTGAAGCTCAGTAAAGTTGCCCCAGAATGAAAACCAGAGAGGAGCCCTTAGCTTACCTTGTGGGAGGCGTGCAGAGTCAAATACCCAGCTCAAAAGTGCTCAAGTTCTGATTGCAGCAAAAATGCCTCGAATTATAATAAATCTTTCCTTAATCTAATTTGGCTTTATTCCTTACTAGATTGCAGTGGAAGTCACTGAATCATTTGTGGAATATATCAAAACCAAGCCTATAGTATTTGAAGTCTTCGGGCATTATCAACAGCACCCACTTCACCTGCAAGGACAGGATCTTAACAGGTTTGGGCCAGATGAGCAAATATTTTTGTTGATATTATTATTGTTGTTATTGTCACTTGCTGGAAAGGAGGAAATCTTTTGAGGGATTAAGATAACTAAATAACAGTTTTATGTTACTCGATGTTTTCTCTTTGGAAACGTCACCACCTTTTTTTCTATGCCACCTAATCACTAGTTGTAGGTAGAGCACATTGAATTTTGCCCAGGTGGCCTTGAGTACCATCTTTTTGTAGGAAGAGACTTTGAATAGGACCAAAAGTTGAAGTGACAGGGCTATACCATGAAATTGTGTATAGTTGCTCCTAAAGGCCCAGAACTTTATGAAGCATAAGTTCTAAGTGGAGACATCAAAATTGGTGAGGAGAGCAATGGTGGGGACTTTGGGATGATGGCAGAGTGTCAGTGTTAACAGAACAACTTTCCTACTTCATTTATTAGCTAAGACTTAGAAAGGGACTTTTATTAAAATGTCTTAGCCTCAGTTATACTCTGGAGTTATGTCTGGTATCTGATACTATGCTGGAGTTGAAAGTACAAACCATCTGTGTCTAGAGGGGACTTAAACATGCCATTATTAGCTCCATGGGACTCTTTTTATCTTAAGAACTTGGTCTTCCTTCCTTCACAGTCCTCCTCAGCCATCTCGACGATTCTTCCCTCCGCCCATGCCACTCTCCAAGCCAGGTGAGCTCTAGCTGCGTGCTTTGCATGATGTTCTGTGCGTGAATACATCTCTTACTCTGAATGACTCCTCCAACAAAAATCATATTCAAATTCCTGCTCCTTTTCTATGTATCCTTACACATTCTTGTATCTAGCCAGAACTGGAATTCTTGGCTCCTGACTTAAAATAAGCAGTAAGAAACAATAGGACTCCATTCCTGCCAGTTCTCTGGTCTTATTGTCAATTTTCATAAGCTCCCTGTTTCCAGATCTCTCCGCTTTGTATGTAACTCCCCGTAACTGTCAAGGGGCTGGGCGTTGTTTTGCATACTAAATTTATCCTGCATGTTCATTTATCATGTTTTGATTTTTCTTTGTTTATTTTCATTCTTTTCCTCATTGCCCACATTCCCACCCCTCCCTGTGCTCATTTTCCACTTCTATCCTCCCCATCTCCATCCTGCCTTCAGACCATGAGAGAAAGATTGAGCTGATTCGATTTCTCGTGTCTGGCTATGTGAATGTGCATGCGCTGGACACATTTTCTGAGCACGCCAGTGTGCTTGCATCCTCCGCTGCTGCCACCTTCCAGGATGGGGCGGACCCCCCGCCGCCTTTTCTCTTTCTGCCAGTTCCCAGCTGCCAGAGCGAGAGGGTACCTAAACAAGATGGTTAGTAGGTAAATTAGCTCTGCCTTAGATGTAAAACCTCAGGGGCTTGTCCTAGAGCCTGGCTTTCTGTGTGAAACACAGACCTCTCTGCTACTTGAACTGACTGCAGAGTTGAGCACATTGACAAGATCCTGTCACATTTGCTTAGAGAGATTTCAGGAAGCACCCTGTCTACTTGTGCCTCTTTCACTCTACCCTGGGGGTGAGGGCTCCTTATATTTGTTTGTTTGGTGTCTTTGCAATAGTATCTTTAAAGATTTTTACTAGTACATGTTTCTGGTTTTGGTTTTTAATGCTTCTGGTTTTGCTTCCTGACCCTTAGATGACCGTCAGAATCATTAACCCTATTTTCCTCTTGACTAGCGTTACCAACTCATATGGGAGTCAGCGGGGTGGGCAATGCTGACAGGCTACACGTATGAATAGCGCTGTTACTCAGAAAGCCTCTTCAGATACATTGTCGTGGATCCTCATAATACCTTTCTGAGATAGCAGGCAAAATATTATGATCTACATTTTATAGAAGAGGAGACAGACTTATAGAGATTAAGTGACTCAGCCAAAGCCACATGGCTCTTTAGTGGTTGGGCAATGATTCGATCCCCAGTCACTGGACTCTCACTCCAGTGCTCCCATGTTCTGAGCAGAGGACTCTGTTTGTATTGCCAGAGTTTAGAGTTTCTACACAGTGTTTCAAAATGCCCATTACGTAGAATCTGAAATTCTTGGAAATATTGGGTTTTGGTTAATGTATTTAATCAGTACAGTTAAGAATATGGAATTTGCCCTAACCGGTTTGGCTCAGTGGATGGAGCGTCAGCCTGTGGATTCAAGGGTCCCAGGTTCTATTCCAGTCAAGGGCATGTACCTTGGTTGTGGGCACATCCCTAGTGGGGAGTGTACAGGAGGCAGCTGATCGATGTTTCTCTCTCATCGATGTTTCTGGCTCTCTATCCCTCTCCCTTCCTCTCTGTAAAAAAATCAATAAAATATATTTTTAAAAAAAGAATATGGAATTTAAATCTGAAGAAAATGTGTAACAAGAGATTTACAGAATCCTGTTTAGAGATCAGACCAGTGCTTCCCAAACTTGTCTGCACATTGGAATCACCTGGAGAGTTTCAAACCTCTCAGAGGACTGGGTCCCACCCCAAGAGATTGTGGTTTAATTGGCCTGAGGTGCCTGGGCTCTGCATCTTTGAGAACCCCGGGTGATTCTCATGGGCAGGGAGGTTCAGGAACCACTGGGTTGGAGGATAGGTCTGTCTCCCGTGATGCTACTGCTCCGCATGGCACAAAGTGCAAGCGTCTTTGTGAGAGAGAAACATCAATTGGTGCCTCCTACTCGTGGCCCTCCTGGGGCAGGGATTAACCTGCAACCAAGGTACATGCCCTTGACGGAGAATCTAACCTTTGACCCTTCAGTCTGAGGGCCAATGTTTTACCACTGAACGACCAGCCCGGACGAAACTTGTTTTCTTATCGTTGGATAATTTGTTCAAAGGGAGAAAGATATTGACTCTCCCTTTCCTTGTTCTCTGAATTTAGAGGTCTGACATAGTTGATGTTGGCGTTTCTCTGGGTCTTCCGCATTGAAATCTATCCCCTGACTCTTGTTGCCTTTCCCAAGCGTGTCCTTGAAGTCTGACATTAGAGAAGCTTATACTTTACTAAGTAGACTTGGATCAGATTTTGACTTTTTCTAAAACTTTTTTAAAAGTTCCAGCCACCAAGTTAAACACCATGAGCAAAACCAGCCTTGGCCAGAGCATGAGCAAGTATGATCTTCTGGTTTGGTTTGAGATCAGTGAATTGGAGCCTACAGGAGAGTAAGTCCAACTTTCTAAACTTTTAAATAAGGTCAAGTTTTTCAAAATTAGAAAATGTAATTTTGAGCCTCTATTCTTGTTCATGATTCATTGTCACTTTCAAATTCCAGTTTTGAATTGAATGTTGGTGGTCTTGCTATTATTCTTTGAATCAAACGTTTGTCAGAGAAATGACTACTTAGTGTAATAATTTACCTTCTGATTAGCAACAGCAAGATCATGGCGCCTGCCACTTTGTTAGGAGGGAAGACAACCTACATAGTGAGTTTTATCAGCAGCAAAGAGAGAAGCATTTTGCTCATAATATGGTCAAGACTTGCATTAATAATCTCAGTGAGAAGGTGGGGGACGGTGTTTCCCTAAACCAGGATTTCTCAACCGTGCCACTATTTGGGGCCAGTTAATTCTCTGTGTCAGGGGCTGTCCTGTGTGTTGTAGGATATTTAGCCACAACCCTGGCTTCTACCCACTATATGCCAGTAGCACATTGCCAAACATCCCTGGGGGACCAAAACCACCCCCAGTTGAGGACCATTGTCCTAGATCAAAATGATCAGCATCGGCCTACTTTCTCTGTATGAGTGGTATTAGAGCAAGTGGTAAATGTATCAGTTATCGTTTTCTCTAAAATGCTCTTGGAAAAACACACAAAAAAGATCCCCCTCCTGAGATAGAGGCAAGGGGCTGTGTTAGCTAATGTAGAGGGTAGGGGATGAATGTTATCCTAATGACCCTCTGTGTATAATGCTAAGTACCACCACCATCACGCTCATCTCCATGAAACAGTTACTGAGTTCCCACTATATGTGAGGTCTGCAGCTGTCGATCCTGTGTGTAGTTGTCAGTAGAGACATCGCTTTAAGGAATGTGACTTCCTATAGACAGATCCATCATGTGATTATGGCTTGCATTATGAGGGAGAGGTAGTTACAGTCATGCTTTCTACTAAGTTAATTTCTTTCTGATTCTTGTAACATGATGTAGAATCTAAATGATCTCCTCTCTCCTTGTACTCCCTATTGTAGTATGCATTATTTATGGGTATCTGTTATGCAAGGGACTGGGATGGAGCCAAAAGACATTACTGTCTTGTGAGCACTTAAGTCTAGTAAGGATGAAGAGATATGGACATGTGGAAACGTTTACTGGATGTGAATGACCGTGTGATTAAATGCCTGAATAGTGACAAAAACATGGATCGGAGTTTAGAAAAGCAAAAACCAGCAGGGGACAGCAGCCAGGGAAGACCTGTGGTGAAGTAGCACTAGTCAGCTTGAGCGTCTGTCTCACTCTTTCCCTTGCATTTCTGTTGTTACAGGTATATCCCAGCTGTGGTGGACCATACAGCAGGCTTGCCCTGCCAAGGGACATTTTTGCTTCACCAGGTACTAATGAGGGAGCAAAAGAGACCTAGGAGGAAACACACACACACACAAAAGTTTAGAATAAGAACCATAACTCTGATTTTCTGCTTTTCCTCTCCATTTCTAAGGGATGTGGAGGTAGTGGGACATTGTCCTGTTCTTTTTTATTTTCCTTTTTAATATGCTTGTTTTTAATTTCTTCCTCAGACTTTGGCTTATATATGTATGCTCTTGCTTTTACATATAAATATATTATACAGCCCTAGCCAGGTTGACTCAGTGGATAGAGTGTCGGCCTGCGGACTGATAGGTCCCAGGTTTGATTCCGATCAAGGGCACATGCCTGGGTTGCAGGCTTGATCCCCAGTAGGGGGTGTGCAGGAGACAGCCGATCAGTGATTCTTTCTCATCATTGATGTTTCTGTCTCTCTCTCCCTCTCCCTTACTCTCTGAAATAAATAAAAATAAAAAAATATTTTTTAAAAATAATCTACACTAATAAAAGAGAAAGGTGCAAATTGACCATACCTTTGTGACACCCACCAGCCAATCAGGAGTGAGTATGCAAATTAACCCAACAAAGATGGTGAGTTAATTTGCATACACAAGCGCCAAGCGGCCAGAGGCGGGGCAGGACGCTTGCATCATTACCATGGCGACTACGCAGGTGTTCCGCACCGCCCCAGCTGCTCAGGGCCTCTGGGCAGCGTGGGAAGGCAGAAAGGCGGCTCTGGCCGGAGCAAAGGCGGTGCCGGCAGCCAGGGGAAAGAAGGCCCATTCTTGCACGAATCTTCGTGCATCTGGCCTCTAGTCCTATATAATAAAAGGCTAATATGCAAATTGTCCCCTTGACCAGGAGTTCTACCAAGGGGTGCGGCCAGCCCACCAACTGCCTGCAGCCTCTCCCCCTGCCATCCCCGCTCCCAATCGGCCTCCCCCACCCTGATCGGGGGCAGGCTGGCCTGCCAACCTCCCGCATCCCCTCCCTCCGGCTGGCCCGGCTCAATTGGCCCCTATTGGGGGGGCCAGCTGGACCCCACCCGTGCACAAATTCGTGCACCAGGCCTCTAGTAAATAAATAAATAAATAAATATATTAGAGAAGAGCTATTTTGGTAAAAGATTTTGCTTCATTCAATTACTATAATTCATGCAGCTTCAATGTCATTTTATAGAATTTTCATTTTGTGATGTTTGGAAACTGCTTTCACAGCCTAAAGATCTTAATGGAGATAGAGGATAAAGGTTTCAGTGAGCGAAAATCTGGCTGTGAAATGTAGGTTGACACCTGTGGGCAGAGGAGCTGGGAATCTCATACTTTGGGACATACATTCTAAGCATTCATTCTTTTTTTTAATATGTATATTTATTTTTATTGATTTCAGAGAGGAAGGGAGAGGGCAAGAGAGATAGAAACATCAGTGATGAGAGAGAATCATTGCCCTAGCTGGTTTGGCTCGGTTTATAGAGCATTGGCCTGCGGACTGAAAGGTCCCAAGTTTGATTTCGGTCAAGAGCACATGCCTAGGTTGCGGTCTCAATCCCCAATAGGGGGCATGCAGGAGGCAATTGATCAATGATTCTTTGTCATCATTGATGTTTCTCTCTCTTCCTCTCTGAAATCAATAAAAATATATTTTTTTAAAAGAGAGAGACAACCACTGAGCCAAACTGGCTAGGTCTAAGCATCTATTCTTAAAGCCATATCAGAACCTGACTCTTCCTGGGTCCCTGACCTATGCCCCATTGTTTAGAATAACAGTGTGGATAACATTTCCGTTCTTTCTTCATACCTCTCCGTCCTGCCCTCTGCCACACCAAACAATCCAGAAAACCAGAAATAGGAGGAAATAATAGTTTGTCCCAGCTAAATCACAGCCCTGCTCCATTCTCTAGGGCATCCAACGAAGGATCACAATGACCATCGTCCATGAGAAGGGAAGCGAGCTCCATTGGAAAGATGTTCGTGAGCTGGTGGTAGGTGAGTACATTCCATTGGCTGAGGACGGAGCCAGGCTTTGTGGAGATCACATGGTTCCTGGTGGGCACAGGGACTCTGGGAGACTGGACTAGAGCATGTGGCCTGTGGAGAATACAGAGGCTTTGACCCTGAAGCTACTCTTTCTCTCAGCTCCACCATCAGGGATACATGATTCAGCCATTATTTTACTCGGGTACCGTGGAATCGTTCTGTGTTAGAAGTCTCTGCTCGTTGTGACCTTGCCCTTCACTTGACGAGACAACATATAAATGTACAAAGCAGTTTGATAAATAAGTGCCAAAATGAGAACAGACTTTGCTAAGAGAGTTCACAACACAAGGATCGAGAGGACGGGGTTAGCTTTGTGGGAGAGGATTGGAATAGGTTCCGGAGCGATTAGAGGGGCTTTGTTCTGTTTTCCACACAAGGAAATATTTTAAGTAAGATCATCTGGAATATGTGTAATATGCAAATGGCTAGCACCCGTAGGCAGAGTAGAGAAATTAAAGTGTAGTGAGAGGGAAAAACTGGCTAAATAGTATAAACTTCAGAACATGTGGCAGGGGTTCTGAGCCTTCTGTCGCCTTAAACCCATTGGCAGTAGTGAAGTCTCAGAATTAGGTTTTTAAATGTAGAAAGTACTTGGGATTACAAGGGGAACTATATAATATTGAAATACAATTGTTAAACTACTAAACAAATGTGTAACCTAAGCTCTTCTTTATTGATACATTAAATAAGTAGCAGGTTGAATTTCTATTTCAAAGTAGTGATGCCTATCTAGATATTTTACATTAGTGTGATATGAAAACATCTGTGGTTTCTGCTGGGGATGAATTCATAGTACTGCTGATTCTCCTGTGGTTTGTCCCCTCCCTTCATAATGGAAGAAAACGCCGAATTTCAGTTAGAGGCTCATGAAAATAAAATCGTAATTTTTTTCCTTATCAAGTTCATGGACATTTTGAATTCTAGTCATAGATCCTCCCCTTCGGTGTCTGTGGACGAGATTAAGAAACCGTGGAAGGAAGATTATACTCTCTTGTCTGGGACAGTGGTTGTCCAGCTTTTTCAAATTGATTTTCATGTGGAATATTATTACATAAAACAGAAGAGATGCTTTCTTTTTAAAATATTCACATGCCCTGGTGTCTTTATTTCTTTTAGGGCGGATTAGGAATAAGGCTGAGGTGGATGAAGCTGCGGTTGACGCCATCCTCTCCCTAAATATCATCTCTGCCAAGTACCTGAAGTCTTCCCACAACTCCAGCAGGTGGGGCACCTACGGAGTGCGATGAGTCACCCCATGGGACTGATTGGTACCCCATTAGAGTCTTCATTCATTAGTGACTTCTATGTAGATGAAGAAACTAATTCTCTCCTCACTTCAAAATCCTCATTTCATCCCCTACCCACCCTACTCCCCCAAAATAAGCAGAGGATTTCTCTGTTTGTGTGTTCCTGAAAAACGTGCTCACAGCTATGTTGAGAAGAGGGAGAGAAAAATAAGACAATAGGGAAAAAACGGGATTAAAAGTTTGGGCCAGAATTAATTTTTCCCCATTGTTTCCTTGTGCTGTAGTTTTGGATAGGAAGGAGAAAAAAGAAACGAGCCTCTGCCTTTTGCCCGTAAGAGTCGCTGGCAGGGGCTGTGGAGAATACAGGGCCCAGCAGCAAGTCAGATGCTGTAGGAGACGAATTTGGTTTTGTCCGAAGCAGCTTACCTTTCACAATAGAAGCTTAAAAAGTTGACTGAAGTCAAGAATAATGAAAAGATACACACTTTAAACATTTTTGTTTTAATTTAAACTACATAAATGTACATTGATTTGTCAAGCACTTGCTGTAAAGCCAAGGCCTTTTCATTTATTGTAGGATCATTTACTGTATGTCCGGTTGTCTTTCTTGCAAAACCATATTCATCAAAAAATTCATCATCTGTGACTTTTACTTTGGTGGAGCAAGAACTAGAAGCCTATGAAGAAATTATGTGCCGTATCTTTCAAACTTTTTATCATTTAGCATTACAATTTTATCATTTCCCCTTTCTTTCATATTGATCTCACCCGCACTTAATTTAACAACTGTTTTTTTACACAACTCACCATTATCAAAACAGTCCACTGAGTTTTTACACTTCGTTTTGATTTACAATGAACAGAAATTCTCTTTGTCCTAATGTCTTACTGATTTGCCTATTAGTTGATTAAATTAGATGATTATAGTAATGCAGCTACATAAATAGGTTTGGGACCAGATATTACCGACACTTGATAAGCTTGCAGCTCACCTCTCTGGAGTAGGTGGTCTGGATATATAAGAGAGATCTCTAGTTTCAAATGGTCAGTGAGAAATGGACATCAGTCTTTATACTTTAGGGACATGGAGAATGTAAGTCAATGCGGTGAGTTACTAAATGGAGTTTGGTTCAGAGAGCTTCTATTCTATTTAATGTTTACATGCTGAAACCGGTTTGGCTCAGTGGATAGAGCGTCGGCCTGCGGACTGAAGGGTCCCAGGTTCGATTCCGGTCAAGGGCATGTACCTGGGTTGCGGACACATCCCCAGTAGGAGATGTGCAGGAGGCAGCTGATCGATGTTTCTCTCTCATCGATGTTTCTAACTCTCTATCTCTCTCCCTTCCTCTCTGTAAAAAATCAATAAAATATATATTTTTAAAAAAATGTTTACAGTTGCTGCCCAGGTTGCGGGATTTGGGTGTATTATGTGTGCACATTAAAGGGCTTTTCTGACATATTGATAGTAGAGTGTGACTCACAAAGGCCATGGATCCTTTCCTTCCAAGTCCTACATTTATGTTACATAATTGACTTGTTTCTCACAGCAACTTCCTACCATTCCAATACTCAGTCACCTCCGAAAGGGTTGTTAATGGAGGTGGTCTCCACATTCCCTCCTCTGCCCAGCATTTTCTGTAATTGAATGTCTGGGAGAGGGACCCATATCATTGTAACCCCTCTACTAGTATAAATTGTATCCCATGGAGTTCTCTGTTAACTGTCCACTTGAATTCACTTTGCTAAACAGCAAATTTGTCTTTTTTATATATTTCTCTCCTGCTTTTCTATCTTTTCTTTCCCTTTTTTTTCTTTTGCTGCACTAACAAAAGCTTTTCCTGTGTTTTTCAGGCTCTTTCTTGATAAGGATATTCCTAGGTATTTTCTGTTTGCTTTTTTGCACATAGAGATTCTAGTTTATCAGAATGCTTTGTGTCTTCTGTTGCTTTGACTGCTATTTTAATTTTGTGTGTTCCCCACCCAAACCTAAGCAAACCTGGAATAGAGAAAGACTGTGCTCCTGTTGTGCCCAGGGCTTTCTGATGTGTGTACACTTCCACATATGGCTTCCTAAATGCTGTGTAGAGTCTTTCATTATTTTCTATTCCATTTATAAACCTGTCTGTTTTATTCTTATGCCCACGAGGTTCCCCTCCTACATTGCAAAATAGAATGTTACTCCCCTCACTTCATAGAGAACCTCAGGTTTTGTTTTTGTCTTCTTTGTCTTCTCTCTGTCAGAAGCTTGAAAGGTTTGCTGCTCTGTGTGTAGCTTTGCATAATCATTCACTTTTTTCTTTGTTTTTGTCCTGTGTGGTGGTAGAGGCCCATTTAGCTACTTGGGTAGCTGAGTCTGTGAGAAATATTTTGTTTATTTTTAAGCTTTTCTCTTTCTCCTGTCAGGGCTGCTTATCTTATCTGTTTGTTTTCTCTTTTGGAATAGAAAAAATCCTGGTTCAATAGTGAAGGAAATTAAATCAAACTTCTAGTCATTAAATGTAAGATTGACTTTCAAGTGAGTGAGTTTGGTTTTTTTTTTAAACTGACACATAGTAGTTGGCTACCTCAGGTGTTAAAAATCATATTACTGACACATCAGCTAACAATAACCTAAAATTAAATCAAACTTCTAGTTATTAAATGTAAGATTGACTTTCAAATGAGTGAGTTTGGTTTTTTTTAAAACTGACACATAGTAGTTGGCTACCTCAGGTGTAAAAAATCATATTACTGACACATCAGCTAACAATAACCTCTTGTCCTTTTATTTGAAGCAAGGCTTCCTATACTGTTTCCTCCAGCAATTCTCCCAGATACATTGGTGACATTGGTGAGGCCAGCAGAAGTGGGTTGTGATATGAAGACTGCAGCCCACAGATTACCGAGTATTTGCTTCCTGCTCTCGATTAATAGATGATCGTAATTAGTCTTTCTTTCTTCTTTTACTTTCTGTCCATACTCACTCATCCTTTCATTTTAATCCCTTTGGTTGATCTCACTGTTTTTGTTTTAGGCAGAGGAGAAGCAGACTCTAAAAACTAAAAAATAAAAAATCGCATTGCTAACTTGATGGTGGGCGGGGACAAAAGGAGGAGTCCTGCCCTTTCCTCCTGGAGTAAAGGTTCCACTCTGCTGTTAGATCTCAGTAAACTGAGAGCTGCTTGGCGTAGGTTCTGTGATGTTACTGACAGGGACAGTACCTGGACTAAGGTGGCTTCAGCTCTTTCGGATGACCCTCTCTTGCCTTTCTGACCTTAGGACCTTCTACCGTTTTGAGGCCGTGTGGGACAGCTCCCTCCATAACTCCCTCCTTCTCAACCGAGTGACACCCTATGGGGAAAAGATCTACATGACCTTGTCGGCCTACTTAGAGGTGAGGAGAACCGGAACTTGAATTGCTGTGAACAGGCAGCCCTGAACAGTGGACAGACTAGAGCAGGAAACAGGGAGGAAAGATTCCACTGAGGTCCTTTCTCCTTCCACATCCGAAGTTAATTATTTTTTAAAAAGATAAGCTTTTAAAAAAATTAATTTGAGAGAGAAAGAGAAATTGAGAGAGAGAGAAACAGCTATCAATTGCCTCCCAAACTTGCCCTGACCGGGAATCGAACCCACCTTATGGGACGCTGCTCCGACAAACAGTTACACCGGCCAGGGCAAGTTATTTTATTCTACTTTGCTGACTATTCTGTTTATATTAGTTTCTGTTCCTAATCTCTATTTAATCAAAAAGTCACATGACTTTTCTTTTAGCTTCAGCATTAGTACCCTAATCACCATTCTTCAAAGAATGTATGATTTTAAGAAAACTTCGCCTCCTGCTTTTATAGTCATGGACAGAGCATAGTGGTGACAAACAGCACAGACTCCGGAAGCAGCTTGTCTGAGTTCAGATCCCTGTGCTGCCACTTGCTGCCTGCATGTCTCTGGGCAAGTGATTTCACCTCTCTATGCCTCGATTTCCTCATTTCTTAAGCTGGAACAATAGCATTTACCTCAGAAAGTTGTTAAGATGCTATATAAAAGGAGTTTTAAGAGTATGCTAGCCATTATTACAGAATAAAACTTTGAAATTAAATGCATCTGCAAGGAACACCACCAGATATTATCGGCTGTGTTGCTGTTGAAATAGTTGGTAGAGCTGAAATCCTCCAGCCCCACATCCCGGACCAGCATTCTAAATGTGGTGGCACAGACTCTGTCGCAGATGCTCTGTCTGTATCTAATGGAGCCCGCTCCTGTCTGCTTTCAGCTGGATCATTGCATCCAGCCAGCTGTCATCACCAAGGACGTGTGCATGGTCTTCTATTCTCGGGACGCCAAGATCTCGCCCCCACGCTCTCTGCGCAGCCTCTTTGGCAGCGGCTACTCGAAGTCACCAGACTCGTAAGTTTTGAGACAAGTTTAGCTTCCAGTTGGTTTGCCCAGTAAAGAATCAGCAGAACCCTAGGCAGCCCTGGTTTGCTGTCTCAGGCTAGTTCACTACCTGTAAGCCATTATGGCACCGACACCTGGGATGCAGTGACTTGAATATTGGCATTTAATAAAATACTAATGACTGGATGAGTTAAAGAGGGAAGGAAGGAATATTACATTGTGAACACTTCCAAAACAGTTCACAGGGACTGAATTTTCTTTTAAAGTGTCATTATTATTCTAACAGAGTACCAAGGGAATTTTTCTTCTTTTAAAGATTTATTCATATTTAAGATATACAAAAATGTATCAAGAATAATACAGTAAATACTTATACATCACCACCCAGCATAAGATATAAGTATTACTGATATAATAGAAGGTTCAGTACCTCTCCCTAGTCACACTCCCCAGAATTTGATGGTTATCATTTTCTAGTCAGACTTCCCCCAACTTTTCTCTCTTGCAGTAAGAAAAGACACATTTTTACATTTGTATTGTAAACTTTATCATTCAACTTTATTCATCCTATTAAAATAAAAATGTTCAAAAGATTGAGATGAAAACAGATTCCTTATATGAAAAAATTAAGTTCAGAATAGGAAAAGTTACTTATGTGTGAGGGTGGGTTGCAGTCCCTACAGAGGAGAGAGTGTTTTAAGTCAGATTTTCCTGTTTCTGTGATATGAGATATTAAGTAATTGTTTGTTTTAATTTAAATAGCAACCGAGTCACTGGAATTTATGAACTCAGTTTATGCAAAATGGCAGACACAGGTAGTCCAGGTAAGAGCTAATGGATGGGGAAGTGATAGTTGTTTTTGCATATGTTTGGAGTGTATCATGTCAAAAATCTACCTTACCCATGTAGGCGAGATATAAACTTTATTAGAAACCAAGCATATTTTACAAGCAGATTTTTGGTGCTGTATTTTTGTGAGTTACATTTTTCTGAGTTACAACACTTTGGTTTGTGACGTGCAATACAATTATAAAAATTTTACCAAACAAAATGTTCCCGGGCTATGGAATATTATAAAATAGTCAAGTGTATTAGAGTGAATTTGGTTTGGAAAATTTCATAACCCTTTCGTTCTCCAGCTTAGCCCCAAGGTTAACTTGGTAGTATCACTTCACAGGTGCTGTCAGACTAGAATTTGAATTTCCTGTGCTGAGATGGCAAATCAAGTAGAACTTGTTTGTGTCCTTTTTGATGTCTCTTTGGGTTCTGTTCCTTCAGCTCGGTGGCCTTAAGCAGCACTTTGGATTTTTATGTTTGTAAACTGGAACATGGACAAAAGGTTTTTGTTTTTAATATTAGGCATTCTTTTGAAAAATATTTTTATTGATTTTTAGAGAGAGAGAGAGAGAAACATCTATATGAGAGCAAAACAGCTATTGGCTGCCTCCTGCATACCCCCTTACTGGGGATTGAGCCTGCAACCCGGGCATAAAAGTCAGGATTCTTTTAAAAAAACATTTGGTTAATATGAGTTTGAATCATTTTAGAGAACATATGTGGAAAGAGGTCAGGGCTCACAGGTAAGATTTAGATTTAAAAAAAGAAGACTTTGAGTATGATTCTAAGTCCCAATAGCAGCTAATTATAGTGTCCAGAGAGTTCCTTGAGGATTATTTAATTAACATGAATTTATGTCTTTTATATGTAAAAACAGTTTAACATTTTACAAAATTAATGGGAGATGTTGGGGTAAAGCCATCTGTCCTCTGCCATTCTACCTGAACTACTGAATGTGGGTGTGTGTATGTGTGGGTGTATTTTTATATATTGGGGACCATCGTGTACAGACTATGTAATCACCTCTCTATTTTCACTTAACATAACAACTTTTTCTCAAGTTGTATTGCAGTCTTCATAATTATCAAATAATGTAAATCTTACTTTTAAAAGGAATTTAGAGAATTGCTTTGAATTCAAAGGGGTTGAATTATTATTAACAAAATCCCATGTATCTAGAGACCAAGTCTCTCTTAGTTCATTATGTATATGAATTATGCATTGATTTTGAGGTAACACTGGAATCAGATTTTTCTCAAAAAGAGTTGTTTCCTCTGGTCTCAGGCATGCAGAGGAGAAGGAGAAAAGTCTTGGATACATCAGTGGCCTATGTGCGGGGAGAAGAGAACTTAGCTGGCTGGCGGCCCCGTGGGGACAGCCTCATCCTGGAGCACCAGTGGGAGCTGGAGAAGCTGGAGCTCATCCATGAGGTATGAATGGGGGGTTGGGGGGGGTGCTCAGATGAAAGCTCGGGCCGGAGACGCTCTGTCACCGCCTCGGTGTGATCCTGGCTTTCCAGGTTTCCATCACCGTGAGACATAACACTGTTCTTACTAAAATCATAATGAGCTTTGTGTTTGCTGAGGCAACAGTGTTGCTCTTCTTAGGTGGAGAAAACTCGCCACTTCCTGCTGCTGCATGAGAGACTTGGTGACAGCGCCCCCAAATCCCTGAGCGACTCGTTGTCCCCCAGCCTGAGCAGTGGGACCCTCAGCACCTCCACCAGCATCTCCTCTCAGATCTCAACCACCACCTTTGAAAGTGCCATCACACCCAGCGAGAGCAGTGGCTACGACTCCGCAGACATTGAGAGCCTGGTGGACCGAGAGAAAGAGCTGGCCACCAAGGTGTGACTCCCTTCCCTTGGCTGGGTATTTGCCCATGAGACTCAGCTGATCAGTCAGTTTCCGTTTCATTTTCTTCCTTCTTTGAGGGCTTCTGTTTTAAGGCCTGCACTAACACTATGAATATAGAAACAAATAGGACTCAGTTCTACCTTTAATTAGCTTACATGCAAATGGTGACAAGCATATAATAGAGGCGTATGTCTAGGTGCTGTGGGAGCCAGAGGCGAGGCCTCCACAGGAGGGCATCGTGAACTGGCTCAAGAGGGAGCAGGGGAGGGAGCTAGCCGTCCTGCATGATCAGTGTGAAGGAATCCTGTGTGGGGCATGAGATGGAGTTAGGGAGATGGGCCAGGGCATCGTGCATACCATGCTAGAGAGTTTAGAGCAGGATGGGGAACCTTTTTTCTGCCAAGAGCATTTGGATATTTATAGCATCATTCTCGGGCCGTGCAAAATTATCAACTTCAAAATTAGCCTTGCGCCCTAGCCTGTTTGGGTCAGTGGATAGTGCATTGGCCTGTGTACTGAAGGGTCTGGGTTTGATTCCAGTCAAGGGCACATGCCCAGGTTGCGGGCTCAGTCCCCAGTGGGGGTTGTGCAGGAGGCAGCCAGTCAATGATTCTCATCATTGATGTTTCTATCTCTCTCTCCCTCTCTCTTTCTCTCTGAAATCTATAAAAAATATATATATTTAAAAAAAGTTTAGCCTTGCTATATTTGGTCAAACATTTAACTCATCCCTAACACCTTGGCAGGGCCAGATGAAATGATTTCGAGGGTCTTATATGGCCTGTGGGCTGTACGTTCCCCACCCTTGGTTTAGAGTGTCTTGGGAGTGACATGGCAATATTTTAAACGGGTATTTGTTTTAGAAAGACTTCTCTGACAGCAATAAAGAGGATGGATTTGTGATGAAGAGAGAGACTAGAACAGCGGTTCTCAACCTGTGGGTCGCGACCCCTTTGGGGGTCAAATGACCCTTTCACGGGTCGCCTAAGACCATCCTGCATATCAGATATTTACATTACAATTCATAACAGTAGCAACATTACAGTTATGAAGTAGCAACGAAAATAATTTTATGGTTGGGTCACAACATGAGGAACTGTATTGAAAGGGCCAGAAGGTTGAGAACCACTGGACTAGAGGCAGAAAAAAACTATTGCAGTAATTCAAATGAGAAATTATAAAGCAAATTAAGAATGAAAGGGATGCTATTGCATTCTTAAGCACTTTAAACTATGATGTTGCAGTATTCACTTGTATAGATTTGAGAATGGCTTTTTTATCCACACACTTTACCTTTTTCATTAGGCATATACAGGCTCCTTGCTATATGCTTAGTTAATTTCTAGAGCTGTTAGGCAGCATCTGAGCTCCACTGTGGGACTTGAACATATGATTTTCCCTTCCTGCCTTGTGTCCAGAGCTTTGTTTAACCATTGAAATTTACGCTGCCACCCCTTTGTTCATAGCAGCACAATTTAAAATAGCTAAGATCTGGAAACAGCTCAAGTGCCCATTAGTAGATGAGTGGATAAATAAGCTGTGGTACATTTATACCATGGAATACTATGCAGCAGTAAAAAGGAAGAATCTCTTACCCTTTGAGACAGCATGGAGGGACCTGGAGAGTATCAAGCTAAGTAAAATAAGTCAGTCAGTCAGCCAGAAAGACAAGTATCACATGATTGCACTCATGTGGAATCTAAGTAACAAAATAAAGTGATGAACGGTGTGGATCCAGAGACATGAAAGTATGGACCAGAGTGCAGAATCTCAGAGGGAAGGTGGGAGAGTGTAGGTGGATGGGAGGTAATCAACCAAAGACCTTGTATGCGCATATGCATAACCCATGGACACAGACAATAGGGTGCTGAAGGCCTGGGGTGGAGGGGGAGGGGGCAGGCTAGAGGGAGTCAATGAGGGAAAAAGGGGGACATATATGTAATACTAGTACTTTGAACAATAAACAATTTAGCCGAAACCGGTTTGGCTCAGTGGATAGAGCGTCGGCCTGCTGACTGAAAGGTCCCAGGTTCGATTCCGGTCAAGGGCATGTACCTGGGGTGCGGGCACATCCCAAGTAGGAGATGTGCAGGAGGCAGCTGATCGATGTTTCTCTCTCATCGATGTTTCTAACTCTCTATCTCTCTCCCTTCCTCTCTGTAAAAAATCAATAAAA